AAAAAAAAACACGACTCTACTGTATGCACTCTCTTGAAGTTTTAAACTTCTGAGTGTAACTTGTTGCACCAAACACAAACTTACACAATTCTTTGTTGGTGGACGATAAAATTAATGAAAACAACAAACAATGTTCATTTGAGCCATATCTGCAGACCAGAATATAACAAATCATTTTTAGACTCGGGCTAATAAGTAACCACCTAGAAACCACCCAGAACACCTTAGCAACCAAATAGCATCATGCTAAAAACCATTCAGAACACTTATTCAACCATTTGGCAACATTTCGTAAACCACTAGCATCACGGCAGTGAGTTTTACTCTTGCAAAACACAGACATCTTGTATTTCTGATTTGCAGTTTTCATAGTTTTGCCTATTCAATATTTTGTAAGTTCAAAATTGTAATTGAGCGAACTAACGCAAACCTTCACTGGCGGACGATAAAAAGGGCAGAAATAACAAACAATGTGAATAGAAGGGGGGATTTGAGCCATATCTACAGAAAAGTATATCACAGAGCCTCTTTAGACTTTTTAGCCAATAAGGAACCACCTAGAAATCACCCGAGAACATCAACCACTTAGCAACATGCTAAAAACCAATCAGAAAAATGATGCAACCATTTGGCAACATTTCATAAACTAGCATCACGGCAGCGAGTTTTGCACTTACAAAACACACAAATCTTGTATTTCCGATTTGCAGTTTTCATAGTTTTGCCGATGCAATATTTTGTAGGTTTTGAGCAAATTTGAGCAACTGAGCAAATTTACACAATTCTTTGCCGGCGGACGATAAAACAGGTGCAAATAACAAACAACACGCACAGAAGGAGGGATCTGAGCCGAATCTACAAACAAGTATATCACAGAGCTACTTTAGACTCGGGCCAATAAGTAACCACCTAGGAATCACCCGAGAACATCTTAGCAACCAATCAGAACACTTGTATTAAAATTATAACATAAAAAGTTGAAATTATGACATACTAAGCCACAATTATGACAAATTTGAAACTATGAGATAAAAAGTCATAGTTATGAGTTGCAAAGTCAGAATTATAACTTCAAAAGGCAAAATTATGATATACTAAGCCACAATTATGACAGTCAAAATTATGAGATAAAAAGTCATAATTTTGAGTTTACAAGTCAAAATTATGACAAAGTCGACATTATGAGATACTAAGTCACAATTTTGACAAAGTCGAAATTATGAGATAAAGTTATAATTATGGAATAAAATGTCAGAATTATGACTTTAAAAGCAAAATTATGACAAAATTGAAATTATGACAAGTCAATTTGGAAAAAAAAGTCAAAATTATGATGAAAATCAAACTTGACAACAAACAACGTGCACTGAAGAGGGGATTCAAGCCAAATTTACGGAACAGAATATTACAGAGCCTCTTTAGACTCGGGCCAATAAGTAACCACCTAGAAACCACCCAAGAACATCTTAGCAACCATTCAGAACACTTATGCAACCATTTGACAACGTTTC